CCCCTTTTGCAGGGGGCCAACAAGGCCGCGTCCTGCTTGCTTGGTTGGTTGGTTGGTTGCCTTGTTATGTAATCTGCTAAGGCTTGCCGGGCCCTAATCGTTATCGCTTTTGGGGGTCGAATCGCTAACCTTATTTTGCTTGCCCAGGTGGTCCAGGGCACCTGGGAACCCTTCCCTTATCCCTTTTTTCTTTATCTTTTTGCTTTTTTCCTTTTTACTGGCCCGCTATCGACGTTCCCTTATTCGGTGCACCACGTACGTTATTTTTCTTTTTGTTTGTGCCCCAAAAGGACCCAACCTTTGGGGCACGTGCAGGGTAGTAACCCTGCTATGCACGTGACAAGGGTGCATTCGAAATCGGATCAGTGGTGGTAACAAACGGGTGCAAGGTGGTGGCGCAAAGATAAGGTAAAGAGGGGGGCTGCTATCGAAATCGATAAGGTTTTTGTTGTAATTGTATCGGTTGTTTGTCGGCGTTGTTGTTAATGATATTGGTTGGTTTGCTTATCGGCCCTTATCGGATTTCGATCCTGGCAGGCCAGGGGCTTAAAAACAAAAAGTCCTTTGTAGTTTCGACGGGATTCGAACCCGTGGTCCTGGCGGGACCGGCCTGGTGCGAAGCCACTGCACCACGAGGCTATCGATAAATTAACGAGCTAATTATTAAGCTTAAATTGGCATAGCAATTACCCAAATGGTTTATTATTAAAAGGTACGGAAAGTTGGCAATATTTCGATCCAACCCTTAATGGCCCATGCTTTGGGTTGCCAAAATTTTGGAATAGCAAAAATGCAAAAAATTGGAATGCCAAATTTATATTATGCAAAAAGCCAAAGCATAGCAAATAGGATATAAGCTTTTATACATACCAATACGGTACGATAAAAACGTAAAAGGCTTATACAAACTTTCCAATAACCCCAACAACCCAAAGTACGTAAAGGTACGCAAAAAATAAAAAATAAGCTTATTTAAGCTTTAAACGGAGCATTTCGAAACAAAAAACTAAGGAATTTACTTATACCAAAGCTACAAAAAGGATAACTATTTGCAATAAAAACCTTAGCAATAACAATTAGCTTAAACGAGCAACATTTTTATATATAAATGCAATAAAGCTTTTATCGCTTAAAAACCTTAATCGATTGCGGTGCCCAAAGCAATTACGTATTGCTACAAGCAATATTACAATACGGTATTCTTGTACGCAAAAAAAACAAGCCATACGCTTTTACAATAATAAAAAAAAGCCAATCGAATACAATAACGGATAAATCGATATTAAAACCAATTATTTTAGTTTTTAATACCAAAGCAAAAATTTTTAAATAACGCTGGACGCGTTGGAAATATGGAACGAAAATACGGTTTTTAAAATCCCGTAGCTACAAAAGCATAACCCAAAAATTAATTAAAAAAAAACGACCTTTAATGGGAACTTTTACTAGCAATTAAAAAAGCCCAATAATTACGGGCCGTAAACAGTGTAAAAATAAAGCCGAAAAAGGGTATTTCGACGGAAATAAAGCAAAATAGCAACTTTTAAACCTTATTACAAAAAACCATAACAACGCTTTACAATAAATTTAAATAAAGGCTATAATAATTAGCCAACGTATTTCCGGAATACCATAAATACTAAAAGTTATTCCAAAAAAATTTAAAAACGGTGCTTTTAAAATACGGGCCGTTTAACTACGAAATTAAATTTAAACCCGGTGCGCAATTTAAATACCAAAAGCTGTATTAGCTTAATTTTAAACAACAAAAAAGGTTAAAAAAGCAATTATAAAAGGATTTAAAAAAAGGGATAATTAAATTTTTAACATTTCCAATAAAATACGGAATTTTATTTGTGCTTAAAAAAAACGGAAAGGAACGAATATGCATTAATTACCAACCATTAAACGAAATTACAATAAAAAATCGATATCCTTTGCTTTTTATTAACAAGTTACGCAACAAATTTGGCAAAGCCAAGTACTTTACGGCTTTAAACTTCCGAAAAGCATATGGATTGCTTTGGATTAAAAAAGGATAAAAATGGATAATAACCTTTCGAATACGGTTTAACGTGTACAAATTGTTAATTATAACTTTTGGATTTATTAACGCGCTAGCTACGTTTTAACGGATAATTAATTACGTACTTTAAAAGCATTTCGATATTTTCGTTTTAGCGTATTTAAATAACATTTTAATATATTTAAAAACGCTAAAAAAGCACAAGCAATATGTGCATTAAGTATTGCAAAAGCTGCAAAGCGCAAAGCTTTTAATTAATCCGGATAAGTGCGTATGGCATACCCAAAAAGTGGTTTTTTTCGGGTTCGTTATTACGCCAAAAAAGGTTAAAATAAACCCAGCCAAAGTACAGGAAATGGCTAATTAGCCAGCGCTTATTAACGTACGAAAAGTACGGGCGTTTTTGGGTTTTTTAAATTTTTATTAACGGTTTATGCAAAGGTTTAATGGTAGCGTTACGTTACTTACAAATTTTACCAAAAACGATACTTAATTCCATTAAAAAGTTCGAAAACAAATTGCTTTCGAATAGCTTAAAGGCGCTATTTTACGGAAATTAATATTGGCTATTCCGGATCCCAATAAACCATTTAAAATTAAAACTAACGCGTTAAATTACGCAATTAGGAAATAATTGGGTTAACGAAATAAAAAAAAAAGCTGCACTTTTGCGCTTTTTTTTTTACAAAAATTTAAAAAATTAAGTTAAATTATTAAATCCATAATAAAAAGCTTTTTGTTATTATTAAAGCTTTGGAAAAATGGAAAATATATTTGTATGGAATAAATTACCAAATTACGGTATATACCGACCACAAAAATCTAGCACATTTTATTACGAGCCAAAACTTTAATAAGCGTTAAATTCGTTGGAGTTAATATTTCCAGGATTACGATTTTTAAATTTTGTACCGAAAAAAATCGAAAAACGGAAAGGCAAACGTTTTAAGCAAACGAAGCAACCATAAAGTCGTTATTTTAAAAAAAACCAAAACGCTTTTAACTTATAAGTTAAAAAAAGCGTTGGTTTTAATTTAGCAAGCAATAGCTTTAATAATTAAAAAGCAAAATTAAACCCTAAAAAGGATTTTAAAAATCCACGGGTTATTAGCTTATAGTTATTTAAAAGCTATTAAAATATGGAAAAAGCTCCGGTAGCATTACGGGTTTACCGAAATTCGGGCAATAATGCTGGAAGCAATAAAGGATTGCTAAATGTATGCTAAGGACAAGCCCAGCAAGCATTTTTTTACGGGTTGTTTTAACCATTGCTAGCGCTAAAAAGGGCGTAGCAAAAAGTTATTATAAACTTTGTTATTAAGCTTTTTAAATTTAAAAAGCCTTTAACGGAAATACAATATAATAGCATATTGGTAATAATGGATAAGCTTACAAAATATACTTTATATTTACTTTATAAAAAAAATAACGATACGTTTACATTAGCGTATACTTTTTTTCGGAACGTAGTAACGAATTACGAAATGCCGTAAAAATTAATTACGAACCGAAACAAGCTATTTACAAGCAAATTTTGGAAAACGCTTACGGCGCTTTTCAAAGCAAAATACGCTTTATTAATAGCGTACCATTTTTAAACGGACGGATAAACGGAGCAAACCAATAAAACAATAAAACAATACTTGCGCTATTATGTTATTTACAAGCAAAATAATTGGGTTTAATTATTACCAATTGCCCAATTCGCTTATAACAATTTTGTGCATAAAAGCACAAAAGAAACGCCGTTTTACGCTAATTACGGGTATACCCTTACGGCGTATAACGAGCCCAAAGCCAAATTTAAAGCTTTAGTAACGGAAATCCAAGTAACGGAGCTTACTAAGCTATACCAAAACCTTTAAAACAAATTGGAAAATTTGCGTTACCAAATGGCAAAGCAAGCCAATAAAAAAAGGATTAAAGGACCGATTTTTAAAGAAAAGGATAACGCTTACTTTTTACGCGCTAATATTAAAACAAAAAGGTTAAGCAATAAGCTGGATAAGAAAAAATGGGAACTTTTTTAGGTTACCCGTATTATTTTTCCGGTTAATTATAAATTTTAGCTATTACTAATTATGCAAATCCATTTAATTTTTTACGTTTTTTTGCTAAAACCAGCGCTTTCGGGCTTTAAAAGCACCGAATTAGTAAACGTTAACCCTAACCAGGAATAAAAAGTTAAAGCCATTTTTAACAAACAAACGCGTTACCGCAAAAAACAATACTTCGTTAAATGGAAAGGATAAAGGGATAAGCACAATACGTAAAAAAACATAACAAACTTTGGAAATTGCTAAAAGGCTTTGCAAAAATATTGCTTATAAAAAAGTTAGTAATAGCTTTAAAATTTGCAAAACGCCCCAAATTCGAAAGAATTTAATGGGCAAAGGAAAAAGGACCTTACAGCATATCCAAAGGATAAGCTAACAGGTTTAAGCAAAAAAAAAAAGCAAAACCTTTTTTGCTAACTAAAAGTTAAGCGAGGAAAATTTAAGGTTGTACCGGAAATTAAACCCAGGATTTCCCGTTATAAAAATAAATGCGTTACCATTGCGTTATATAATTTGCGAAAGTTATTAAAAAAGTTACAATTTACCGAATTAAAAAAGCGCAAGCAATTTAGGATCGATACCAAACCCTGGGCTTTCGGGGTTAGTAAAAAAAAAAAAAAAGAAAATTATGTTGATTTAACCAGGTTGCACCGGGAATCGAACCCAGGTTTTCCCGTTACAAAAACGAGCGCGTTATTATTGCGCTATACAACCGGAAAAAGTTGTTAAAAAAGTTGCAATTTACCAAACTAAAAAAAAGGCAACGGGTTAAAATTAAAATTAACCTTTAACGCTATTTAGCCAAAAAATAAAGGAAGGAAATTAAATTAAAGCTAGGAAGCGGGACCGGCCACCGCTAAAGCAACGGTTTGTTTAATTTTTTTTGTTTAATACGCTTTAGCTTTTCCACATTGTTAATGCCGCAACGAATAACGCGCATTATTTTTTTAAACCATAGGTTTTTTTAAATGCGCAAACGTTAAACCTAATTGCTTTTAGTACGCATTAACTTTTTAATTTGTTAGCGAAATTGTTTGGCAATAATAAATTTAGCGTTTAGTTTGGAATATTGCTTAGCAATTTTGCGCAATTGGTTAAAAAAAACCTTTAAAACGTTGCACCAAGCACGTTTTAAACAAACGCATTTGGTACAACGAAAGGAATTTTTTAAAAATATTTAACAAAAAAAAAACCAACGGCTTTACAAGCAAAACAAAAAAGCATTAAAATCGAAAAGTTAAAAACGGCAAATAGCAAAGCGTATTGCTGGATAATTTTCCGAACCGGACGTTTTTGGATTTGCTCGGACATTTTGTTAAAAAAAGGGAACGGTTAAATAGTAAAAAAAAAAGTACTTACGATTAATAAAAAGGCGAAAAGGATAGTAATACGTGGCTAAAAGGGCTTGGCTATTAAAAAAAGGACTTAATATTACGACCAACAATTACTTTTACCCAAAAAAGAAAGGTAGCACGATACGGAAACCCCGTAAAGGGTAAGGGGTTACGTAACCATTAAGGATTAATGGATTAAAGGAACAAAAAAAGTAAGTTACTAATTTAAAGGAAGCTTAAAAAGGCTTATAAAGTTGGTTTCGTAAGCCAATTAATCCATAACCCCAAAAAAGTAAGCATTAAAGTATAAAAAGGAAAGGGTTTCCTTTTTTTGTAAGTAATTTTTAATTAAGGCTTTGGCATTAATTAAACTTTAGTTAGTTTTTAAGTAACCTTTGGAGCAAGCATTTAAACCGCACCCAAATTATTTTGTAAATCCTTTTAATTTGTTACGTTACGTGCTATTATTCGATATTCCTTTGGTGCTTTACTTTAAAAGCAAAGGCTTAATTGTAACACGCCGGCGCTAAAATCCATAAAGCTAAAGTAATAACTATAAGCTATAAATTTGTTGCGGTTGAACCGTTGTTACAATCGGTTGCTTTGTATTACAAGCTTGGTTTTTTGGCTTTTTTTCTTTAAACGGCGTTCGTACAATTTATCGCTGGTTTTAATTACGGTAATAACGTATTTAGCAAAGGATTTGGGTTAATTAACCTTTAAAACCTTGTTTTTTACGTTATTTTGGAACCCATTGTACAAATGGGCCATTTTGGTTTAATTAATCCAATTAAATTTGTTAGCAAAGCGTTGGAAGTTGGAAACGTATTTTAACGTTGCGTTTTTTTGTTAAAATTGGAATATTTCCTTTTTTGCAATTTGCTATTCGTTAATTTAACCAAATACGTTGGTAATTTTTTTTTAAACCGAACGAAATTGGCAAAAATAACCTTGGTTTTTTTTTTGCTTTCGTTATGCTTTTTAAAAAAATTTGCTTATACGGGCTCGAACCACTTTTTAATTTTACTTTTAAAGCAAATGGTTGCGTAAGCAACCTTTTGCTGCTTTGTATCGAATTGGTTATAATAAAAGGCAAAAAAGCTTTGGCATTTCGTTAAAAATGCTTTAAAAGCCCCGTCCTTTTTATCGTAACGGTTAAGTGTAAGGAATTTGTATACCCGGGTAGCAATTTAAAAAGCGCCGGCTCGTTTTTTGGTTTGCGCAACGTTTGCGGCCAAAGCTTCGAGCGCTAAACAGCAGTAAACCGCGTTGTTTATATCGTACTTTTTGCTTCCAAACCGGAAAACGTTCGTTTTTAGAATGGGGATTTCGATTGCTTTTGCAAATTTGGCTTAAGTTGCCATTGTTATTGCTTGGCACGATTCGATGCTAAACAAAATTAATTAAAATGTTACAATTAAGCTTTTGCTTTTAAAGTAAAGCACCAAAAAAATGTCGAATAATAGCACGTAATTTAACAAATTAAAAGTTTTTACAAAGTAATTTAAATGCGGTTTAAATGCTTGCTTTAAAGGTTATTTGGAAGCTAATTAAAATTTAACTAATGCCGAAGCTTTAATTAAAAACTACTTAAAACAGTAAAAACCCTTTCCTTTTTATAGCCCGTTCCTTACGTTGTTTCCAGCCTTCCCAGGGTAGTAACTTGTAATTTTGTCGACAAATTACAAATTACTTAAGTAATTTGTAGCTTTGTTAACAAATTACGGGCGGCTTACCTAAGCTTTCCTGTAGTAAAGGGTAAGCGTTCGCTTACCTTTCGCTTCCTTGTCCTTTTTTTCCCGCCGGGTAGTTGTTGGTCGTAACAGGGTAATGCTTTAAAAACAATACGATAACTTAACGGGGGGTTACAAAAGCATGGCCAAAACTTTAAAAAAGCTTAAACGGTAGTTTAAATAGCCGGGTATGGCTAAAAACGTACGCAAATACGTACGAACATGTTAAATATACCAGCAAATAAAGCCAAAAATATAAGCACTTTACGGGTTATTAGCATTTTTGCCCGTGCCAAACCGTTTGGAATAAAAGCTATCGATAAATTTTATTGGAAAATTTTTAACGTTAATAAATAAAACCGGTAAAAAGCGCAATGCAATATTGGTAATGGTTAACCGGTTTACCAAATATAGCTTTTTTATTTTAACGTTTACGAAATTAACCAGTAAAAAATTAAAAAACCTTTTATTTGCATACGTTTGGGGGCTATTGGAAATGCTTAAAAAAATTATATTAAACCGGAACAAACTATTTACAAACGGGTTTTAAACAACCTTTACCAAACATTTAAAAATTGTAAAAAAGTTATTAACAACATACCATTTTTAAACCAACGGGCAAACGGAACGAACGAACCAAGCAATAAAGCATTATTTTCGGTGCTTTTATTGCGAAAAGCAAAACGATTGGGCGTTATTGTTGCATTTAGCAACGTAAATGCATAATACGAGCGTGCATTTGGGGTTGCAAAAAACCCCGGCGTTTTTGCTAATAAGGTTTTACTTACAAAAGCTTTATAACCTTTAAGTAATTAAAAAAAAACCTTCGGCAACGGTTAAAATTAAGGCGGGGGCTTTGGAAGCAATTAAAAAGCAAGCTAAAAAATTGTTAAAAAAAGCGAATAATACGTACAAAAAGTATTATAACAAAAGCAAAACCCCGGTGCTTTTTAAAGTAAGCAATTGGGTATTATTAAATACGGCGAATATTAAAATAAAAAAGCCGTTAAAAAAGCTATCGAATAAATGGTTAAAACCTTTTTAAATTTTAAAAATGGTTGGGTTAACCGGTTTGGCGTTCCGGTTAAAGCTCCCGGTAAATTACCGGATACATAACGTATTTTCGGCAAATTTATTGCGGGCGTTTAAAAAAAAAGCCCGGC